ACCACAGTTAGTTCACATCAAGCTACAGTTTCTACCAATCACCGCGCGCTGCTCCTCACCCCTTCTGCCCGCGCACTGTCTATCATACAGACCTCGACAGACCCTCTTGCCATCGACCCCTTTCCTCAACACCAATATCTCGACTTTTCGAAACCTCAGCTCCCCTTTCTCGCGTTGCAGCATTCAGCCGTGGAGGCCGGCGGCGCACACCAACGGCGGTTAAATAATGCACAAGGCCGCACGCCTCATGGCTTCATTGGTCTTCATGTTGATGATCTGTTCATGGCAGGAGACAAGGTCTTTGCAAGGACTTCAAGGTAGGCTCAAAGGACAAGAATGACATCACGTTTGTTGGTCAACGCATCCGATGGAAGACTCACGAAAAGCATGGACCCTACATCTCTCGTGACCAAAAACTTGCTGTCAGTGCTGTTGAGGAAATCAAACGCGAGAACACTGGAAGGACAACTTAGCTTGTAACCCTCACACGCATACTGCTTATCGCTCTGTCTTCGGCCAACTGAATTGGCTGCAGAGTCGAGCGCAAGTTCATGTGTGTTACAAGTTCTCCAGGTGTGCGTCCGCAGCTTCGAGTCCGACCATCGGTGATGTTCGTGAGATCAACAAAGTCGTCCGCACCATGAAAAGCCAATATATAGACGCTGGTTTTGGCCTCTTAAGGGCCATCAACGCATACTTGGCTTCCCAGATGCATCGTATCGCAACAATAACGATAAGCCCAGTCACCGCGCACACGTCATCTACTTAGCCGAAGAGAGACATCCATACAACTCTCGACATTCCGAGAAGAAGGACAGTTCAGCCACTCGTGGATCCTTCATACACTATGAGAGTCACAAGATACCGACCACTACTCAGTTACCACGGTTGCTGAACTCCAAGCTTTGATGAAGTATGTGTTTTGGCACCTGTCTCTTCCTTCCTACTCTCTGGGCTCATGTTACCAGAACGAAACATCACCTTGTTCAAATGCTCAGACACAAGAGTAAGACTGGAAACATTGACAATTTAATTTAAGTCGCGTAGCGAGCACATTCACGCACTCCCACGCGCGCTGTCCTTAAGAAGGCTGGACGTTTCCTCTCGCCAAGCCGATCTCCAAGCCCCAGCGGCCGCCGTGTATGGCTTTCCGACATTACAGCCTACTGCAAAAAGGCGTGCAACCTCCCGCGCCAGGGAGGTAATGCAGAATGCCTTCGCCGAAGCCTCTGAGAGGGCCCCTTTCGAGCTCATGATCTGCAAGACGTGTAACCGTGAAGATGTTTTGTTCTTTTGCATGCGGACATGGCACTTGTCTAGATTGCTTCCATGATTTGAAGAACCCGTGCAACCGCAACACTTTCTACTTTGACACGACCATCCCAGATGCCGACATTCCGGCACCATTCGGAGAGGCTGAACTGGAGGAGATCACGGTGGAAACTGATTTTCAACGCCGTTTGCCCCAGAATCTGAAGCTAGGCAACAGGATCGCCTAGCCGCACGTCGACGTCGCCTGAAGCAGATTGTAAACAGTGGCGGCTCGACAGGCTTTGCAGCCATGGACCGAATCATCCAGGTGCGAATCGCTACCACTACTCAAACAACCCCACGTATGATTCGCACCCAAGTCCCAACTATCAGTGAGCATTGGTCCAACCAAAGCAAAAATGCACCGTATCCAATTAACCGGCCAAGCTGCTTCTACGAGCCTCGCCGCCGATATTCCGGCGAAGAAATGAGCCGAATTGTCGAATTGAGCCGTGGCCATATGGCTGGCCATCATGCCAACAAAGGCGACTTTGACCCAAATGAGGCTATAAGCTCCTTCGTTCCACTGAACACGTTTCCGTACTTTTGATGAACATGGGAAACATTTGTAGGACGCCTCGTTTTAACGGGAACCAGCCATTGCCAAGAGACCTCGAGGCCACGGACTTGTATAGCGTCTTGCCACACTATCTTGCCCGCAATACAGCTCATGTCACAATCATCCGATCCTGCTAGAGGCAGGTGGCCTCGGGAAGCATCGTGAACTCTTCGCCCAGCACAATCGAATGTGTCTGGTAGCCATGGCAGATGGGAATGCCCATCCTATAGCCTGTATCATTCCACGGACGACATTGCGTCGTGTCTGGAACTGCTTCGTCGCATTCAGCTTGATTCTGAGCGACTCCGCCGCGTTTTGAGTTATTGGGGCGTAACCGAAGAGGACGCGGCCGGCGGCGTAACAACGAAGGAGTCCGACGCAGCCTATAGCCGAAGCCTTAGAAAGCGGCGTAGATGATCCGGCAATTGAAACGGAGACTGTTGTCTGCCCGGACACTCTCAGAACAGGGCAGGGTGTAACCCGGTTCCATCAAGTTGATCCAATCTTCGCAGGTGTCTATATGTTGAAAGTCCGACATTCCGGAGTGGAAAACTGGCAGACTGTAAGCGGAATCATCTTCCAGAGCTGAGAGTTTGTGCCGCTCACCTTAATTCTGCATCCTTTGATGACTGTACTACTGCAGGAAAGTCAGCTCTCGTCAAAGTTCTAACGGCTGCTATTTCGGACCAGGAAGACGTCATCGCGCGCGACGCAACAAATCTTCACCAATCGACAGTTCAAGTCGGATCGACACTCGGATCCGCATACTGGCGCTGTGCTTACACTCCTTGACCAAATTTTGGTATCAGCCAATAAGCGGCGTGATGCACACCATCGCATCACATACAGCATTGGTTTCAACACTCGCTACCGAGCAGTTAGCCTCTTTGGCAGCAAAGCAAGCAAACGTCCAGACGTCGATTGTCTGATGCAAATTGCCCTCAACTAGGGTAAGGACATGCCTACACTGGTGAACAGAACTTCCGGCATTATGGAAGATATGGGCCGAACCTCTTATGAGGAGCCACCACGTCAGAAGGAGACCCTAATCAAGGTGAACGAATATTTGAAACACCAGTGCAGCTTTCAGCTTGCCTGTAGAGCCAACGTCAGAATCCGTAGCGCTGCCTCTCAAAAGCTACGAAAGAAAAAGGATTCTGAACGATATGAGAAGAGAAAGCAAGACTGGTCACAGGATACATCCTGGTGGCAGTCCTCTGCATCGTCCTCATGGGGCTCTGGATGGTGGGGGTCTCACCAGCATAGACGGTGGTAGGAGTCGACATTACGACCCTTAGACTCTCATATATCGATATTCCGGCATAGTCAGCATAAAGTGTTGCAACTGGTTAGCATAGACAGAATTTAGAACTTTAGAGGCTCAATGCCAAAATTTTCGAGCCTAAATTCAAGATAGAAACCGATTTTTGATGGTTTAGTTGAATCAAATTTAGAAATCAAGATTCTCGACATTACGGTCATCTTTGAACATTTTTGTGACGTGTACATAGATTAGACAGAACTCTGCACCTAGCATCATTTTGGCCAGAATGGCATCTACGGCCAAGTTTTGTAATTCAGTCGAATTGTGCATTTTGCAGCAGTAAGCTCCGACACGACGACAAATTTGTGTCTGTTTGTAGTGCCCTAGGTCCCCTAGGCGTGTCTACGCTATACGTGTGTAGCACCTGTTGTTCGTAGTTATCTTGTATAGCTGACAGCTTAATTCACGTTGCTTTTGGCTCAAAACTACTAGAGCCCGCACATACTGCACCGCTCGCCATAGAAAACTGTGCTCTCTGCCGTTCGCACACTTCGACACTCCGCTATCGGGTTTACTTGGTGTTATCGATCAGGTCCAGTGTACTTCACTGCCACTTTGGAGAACTTACACCTCAGGGGGGGGCCCCTACACATGAAGTTTTCACGCGATGCGGCGCTCTCGAGGATTCCAGCCCCTCACTTGCTAAAGCAAGAACAACTCCAGATAGCTGGAGCTAGCTTTCGTGATTAGGTTGGAGGCCATTAAGAAAAAGTTGGAGGCCACCGCTATTTGATTGGAGGCCATTGCTATTAACGTCGAAGCCAAATTAATATAATGGGACGGAATAATACACAGTTTTCGCCAACTATTCACACACACTGGTTAATTTATTGGGACGGAATATCAAAAAGTGTGTTCACCCCTTGTGTTTTCAATTTTAAGATATATTGGTTTGTCTACTCTTTTGCTATTGTTGCCCGTTAAAATCCTTTACCTACCACCGCTGCTGCTGCTTCTGCTCCTACTACTACCACCACTACCACCACGACTACTACTACTACTACCACTACCACTACTACTACTACTACTACTACTACTGCTTCTACTGCTACTGCTACTACTACTACTACTACTCCTGCTACTACTACTACGACGACGACGACTACTACCACTACCTAGCACTACTACGACTAGCACTACTACGACGACTGCTACTGCCACTCCACCTGCTACTGCTGCTGCTACTCCCCCTCCTCCTCCTCCTCTTACTATACTACTACCACCACCACCAAATTGTTTTTGTGGAGGCGCTGCTTTTCAGACTCCCTGGATTGTTCGCTAGGGGGGAGGGTTACGCTAATTAAGATCCAACATCAAGTTGGAGGCCACCGCTCTTAGGTTGGAGGGTAGCCGAGCCTACACCCCGCAGCTTCGCAGCTTAGGTCAAGGATGAGCCGTTTCATGATTGTTCCCGCTTTCCCGCATTCCAAAGCCACCTCCAGGTGACGTCCATGACGTTTGGCCATTTCCTACATGAGCATTTTTTCCAAGGAAAAAATGTCCTGACTGCATGAACTCGATCCACTACGTGGGTATGCAGGGTGCCTAGCACGCTACAATCCTTCCTCAGAAACACGGATGAGTGCCAGCCCAGAAGCAGGATTGAAAGAGGTCCGCAAATTCCAGGCGTTCAAAAGTCGAAAGGCCAAAAGCCATGGCCCATGATCTCGCCAAGCATACCATGCCCGTGCCCACAAGCTCCGAGCCATCACATGCCCATATTGGTTCATCAAAGTTCCCATCTTTAGTTTCTACATCGGCAAAAGTTTTATTTATTTATCCTGACATCTTTCACCAAGTTCAATATCGGACTTCATCCAGGAATTCTGACAGAATGCAAGTCAAAATGTTGAGATGTCTGATCCACACTGCGGCACAAGCTGAGTCATTGAAGCTACTTGGATATAGACGCAAGCAAATCAATCGCATGCTGCATGAGAAGGGCTTCCCAAAGGACCTCGCCGCGTTCTTCCCGCTTCTATTCTTTTTTCCTCATTCCCCGAAGTTGCCTGAAGATGCTGCAGGAAAGCAGGACCAGTTGGCAAAGCCCTCAAAGCTGCCTGATCTGCAAGAGCTTGAGCAAAGTCCTGAACGGAACAGTCAGAGCACTTCAGTGGACTTGGACTACGCACTGCCTTTGTTGGTGCCTCATCGTATTCAGAGCTCTCACCTGGAACAACAAAAGTCTTAGCATGTCTTTTATGCAAAATTCTTGCGAAAAGCCCGGACCTGAATTTAGCAGCAATCTCAGCAGTACCCTTGACGCTGCTTCTTGGCAGTAAGGGTCCTGTCAGGTCTTGAAGCACGAGCAGCTACCTTGCACTTTGAATCTCATCATCACTCGATCAAATGACGGTGTCTGGATGCAAAAGCTTCGCAGTGAAGCTGCAAGTCTCCCAGAGTTCATCTCTGACACGTGAAAGGCGACTCTGCAGGAAAACAGCAGCCTGGGAGCTTAGACCCCGGAGAAAAACGGCAGCTTCCCTGCGGAGATGCAGCCTCGTCTCATCCAGCTTGCAGATACACTTGAGTGGCTGACTTCTGTCATCACAAAGAAAAATGTGTACAAAATGTCTGACCCCTTAGCAAGGGCCTCATTTCTTCATCTTCAGCCAGAAATCCCAGTGCTTCTGTGGCGGCCACACGCGCAGCCGGCGTAATCTCCAACTTGAGCAGTTCGACCAGCGCCGCATGCACAGGGATGACCTCGGTCCGTGACAACACGTCGTCAAACAAGGTGTCCACAAGGAGGAGTGCAGCCGCAGTGCTACCTGGTCCGACCTATGTCTGGTAGGTAGCATTAGGTATCCTGCTTGTAGTGGTAAGCAGTAGCAAGCAGAACAGTCCATCTTGGGACACTGAACACTGGAGCCAGTTCCTGTGGGCGTTCAATAGTCTACTTTGGGTGATACGGCCGTTCTTCGTTCCAAGTGCTGGGTGGGCGGCTGCTTTTCTGGCTTCAGCTCCTGGAATCAGAACAGGAAAGCTTGGCCATTTGGCTTGTCACAACAAAATCCTCCATAACAACCTAGAAGCGATGGCCCCAAACCTAACAGCGATGGCCTCAAACCTAACAGCGATGGCCTCCAACATAACAGCGATGGCCTCAAACCTAACAGCGATGGCCTCCGACCTAATAGCAATGGCCTCAAACCTAACAGCGATGGCCTCCGACCTAACAGCTATGGCTTCCAACCTAGAAGCGCTGGCCTCCAACCTAACAGCGATGGCCTCCAACCTAACAGCGATGGCCTCCAACATAACAGCGATGGCCTCCAACCTAACAGCGATGGCCTCAAACCTAACAGCGATGGCCTCCGACCTAATAGCAATGGCCTCAAACCTAACAGCGATGGCCTCCGACCTAATAGCGATGGCTTCCAACCTAGAAGCGATGGCCTCCAACCTAATATAGCGATGGCTTACAACCTAACAGCGATGGCCTCCGACCTAATAGCGATGGTCTCCGACCTAGTAGCGATGGCCTCAAACCTAACAGCGATGGCCTCCAACCTAATAGCGATGGCCTCCAACCAACTAGCAGTGGCTTCCAACCTAGAAGCGATGGCCTCCGACCTAATAGCGATGGTCTCCAACCTAACAGCGATGGCCTCCGACCTAATAGCGATGGTCTCTGGCCTAATAGCAATGGCCCCCAACCTAACAGCGATGGCCTCCGACCTAATAGTGATGGTCTCCGACCTAGTTGGCCTCCAACCTAACAGCGATGGCCTCCGACCTAACAGCGACGGCCTCCAACCTGATAGCGATGGCCTCCAACCTAAGAGCAGTCTCCGACCAAATAGTGATGGCCTCCGACCTAATAGCGATGGCCTCCAACCTAACAGCGATGGCCTCCGACCTAACAGCGATGGCCTCCAACCAAGTTGCGATGGTCTCCGACCAAATCGTCCTCCAACCTAATAGCAATGGCCTCCAACCTAACAGCGATGGCCTCCGACCTAATAGCGACGGCCTCCAACCTAATAGCGATGGCCTCCAACCCAACAGCGATGGCTTCCAACCTACCAGCGATGGCCTCCGACCTAATAGCGATGGCCTCCAACCTAATAGGGATGGCTTCCAACCAAGAAGCGATGGCCTCCAACCAACTAGCGATGGCTTCCAACATAATAGCAATGGCCTCCGACCTAGGAGCAATGACCTCCAACCTAAGAGCGATGGCCTCCAACCCACTAGCGAGGGCCTCCAACCTAGTAGCAATGGCCTCCCACCTAGAAGCGAGGTCCTCCGACCTAATAGCGATGGCCTCCAACCTAATAGCAACCCAATAGCGCTGGCCTCCAACCTAAAAGCGGCGGTCTCAAACCTAGAAGCAATGGCCTCCAACCTAAAAGCGGCGGCCTCAAACCTAATAGCAATGGCCTCTAACATTAAAGTGGCGGCCTCCAACCTAATAGCGATGGCCTGCAATGGCCTCGAACTCAGGAGGTTTGGATGACAACAGTTACTCTTGTTACTCTTGTTACTACTAGTAAGGCACTTGTTACTAGAAGCGTGGCACTTGTTACTAGAAGCGTGGCACTTGTTACTAGAAGCGTGGCACTTGTTACTAGTAAAAAGAAATGAACGTTCTGAGTCTAATCTCCTCGTGCAAGTTGACGAAGTGCAAGTGCCGCCCAGCGCTGCTCTGGACCGGACAGTGCCGCTGCAAGATCCAATACAGCACCAGAGTCTGTCAAAAGAAATGCAGCAAGCTCAGGTAGACTTAGCTGTCAAAGAGCTCAATTTGTCAATATGCCTTGTCTTAGTCTCAATACTTCAGTCGCTTGACTGAGTCCGATTGAGGTGGTCTTTCAAGGCTAGTTTGTCAAGGACAAACAACAGACCTTGCCTACCATCGTCGTGGCATGGGCTTCTACTCCAGCCAAGGATGCCAAGATTTTGGCAGCCTATGACAGCCAATGCAAAAGCGTTGAAGTCACGCCAGACCCTACAAAGCAACATGAATCCCTTCTTTCTTGACCTTCCGTGGAGTATACAATACAATTCATTCAGTCAAGCGGCGCATTCTCTGCCTCTGGGAATGTCGGGGGCCCTTTGCCGGACAAATGCCAGAGCAGCAAACCAAAACAGCAAAAACAAATTGGTTGAACACAGCCGAGCAGCTTCTGGTGATTTTGAGAAATCGAGTAAAGAATGCATAGTGAAAGAGAAACATGCCCGAGACGAAGCAGCTCGACTCTCCTCAGCAATGTGATGGCTGGATGGATCACAAAAGCCGAAGAGGCAGCAAGCTGCGGCGAAGTGAAGAGCAACGTCGCCTCAGGACGAGACCAGTGACAGTGAGGAGAGATCAGAAAATTAGAGATAAAAGGAGATGAGGAGATGACAATGAGAGATAAATGATCAAAAAATAATGTTTCCTTTTTCATTCATTTGTCGTTTTTGGGGTGTCCAAAAAAAGAAAACGACCTGACAAACCGATCTGACAAACCGTTGTCTTTCTCTGACCTTCTAAATTCTAAAGAACCTTCTTAAAGAAATAGAAACACTTGGTGACCTAGCCTTCGTTGCAACATGAAAAGATAAAAGTAATAATATAAATATATAGAAAAACATAGAAAAATAAACTTCACGTGCCCCAACATAACATCAAACTTCTTGCTGACGTCCCATTGAGTCTGAGCCACAAGCACCGCCACTGCACTGCTACGTCCGGTTTTGTCAATCCCCGCGTCTGCTGCAGCCTGAAAATCCAGCATGAAGTGGCCTGGTCTACCAGGTCTAACATGACAGGCACTAGTCACTGTTGGTCTTAAAACGAAAAGACTCAAACCTAATAGCGCTGGCCTCCAAGCTAGTAGCGATGGCTTCCAAGCTAATAGCGATGGCCAGCGCTACTGGCCAGTAGCGCTGGCCTCCAACTAATAGCGAAGGCTTCCAAGCTAATAGCGATTGCCAATAGTGATGGCCTCCAAACAAACAGCACTGGCCTCCATGCAAATAGCGAATGACCTCCAAGCTAATAGCCAAGGCTTCCAAGCTAATAGCGATGACTTCCAAGCTAATAGCGATGGCCAGTAGTGATGGCCTCCAACCTAGTAGCGAAGGTTTCCAAGCTAATAGCAATGGCCAGCCTCCAAGCTAATAGCGAAGGTTTCCAAGCTAATAGCGATGGTTTCCATGCTAATAGCGATGGCTTCCCAAGTAATAGCGATGGCCAGTAGTACTGGCCTCCAACCTAATAGCGTTGGCCTCCAAGCTTATAGCCAAGGCTTCCAAGCTAATAGCAATGGTTTCCAAGCTAATAGCGATTGCCAGTAGTGATGGCCTCCAATCTAATACCGCTGGCCTCCAAGCTAATAGCGAAGGCTTCCAAGCTAAGAGGGATGGTTTCCAAGCTAATAGCGATGGCCAGTAGCGCTGGCCTCCAACCTACTAATAACAAAGGCTTCCAAACTAATAGCAATGGCCAGTAGTGATGGCCTCCAACCTGATAGCGCTGGCCTTCGAGCTAATAGCGATGGCTTCCAAGCTAATAGCGACGGCCAGCAGTGCTGGCCTCCAAGCTAATAGGGATGGCTTCCGAGCTAATCGCCATGGCAAGTAATGATGGCCTCCAACCAAATAGCCCTGGCTGATAGCGATGGCCTTCAAGCTAATAGCGATGGCTTCCAAGCACTCCAAGCTAGTCGATGGCCAGTAGTGATGTCCTCCAACCTAATACGGCTGGCCTCCAAGCTAATAGCGATGGCTTCCAAGCTAATAGCAATGGCTTCCAGGCTACAAGCAGTTCCCGGACAAGCCGGCGGCGGAAGTTTCCTATAAGAACAATTTGACCTATAGCTCTGCGCATGGAGTGTCCCTTCGCACATGCCCTGTGGGCCCCCTCTTTTTTCGGCCCGCGACGATGGCGTCATGCAAGCAGCACACAACGGCGTACTCGCTCTGGCACTGTGCATGCAGTGGCACTGGCACGAATGCCTCTCGTTTCTTCTTTTGCTTTCATCGGTTGTTCACAGCAACGCACCGAAGTCCAAGAGCGGAGGCCATTGCGCTAAGCACATTGAAGGCTTCATCTGGGGACCTTGCCATGGCTGACTGTTCGCGGGTCACAACCCCGCACGAACAACGACTGAGAGAACGAAGTTGCGTGTGTTTAATTACTTTGATGTTTGTCATGTACCATTGTGTCCGTTTTCATGCATGCTTGCTTACAAATCAGAACTCATCAGATTTTTCCCTTTGTTTTTTTTGCCTACCGTGACTAGACCGACAGAATCCAATGCGGACCACACCGTCACACGCCGGACTGCGCCGCTTACAGAAAAGTGACGCCAACAAGTCTGAATCCAGAAACCCTAGGTATTCAGTATGTAACTACATCAATCATGTCCAAAAACAACTTTGAAGCACGTACACAAGAAACAGGTGAAAACTCTAGTTACAATGGAGGGACGATTCGAACATGATCCGAGCATGACGCGAGACCGCCCCGCAACCGTCGTTCCGCAGAGCTTGACTTGCCAGGTTCGGGGCCACGGGCCACCCTTTGTAAGAAAAAACGCAACATTTCGTGCGTCCGCTATCTCTCAAAAATGCATTTTGTACGAGACTTCCTTCCAAAATGCATGTTGAACACCTGCAAAACGAAGCAATTCTGCAAGACTTCCTCGAGGACGTGATCCAACCAGACATGAAAGTGCCATTTACATTGCGGGAACGATCCTGAAGTTGCAAGACACAATGAAATTCCAGCGACAACTCATCCACCAGCAACAGTTGCAGTCACATTTACAGCGCGGAAACCTTCCAGGAGTTGCAAAACGCAATGGAATTCCATCAACAGCACGTACACAAGAAGCAAGTCAAAACTCTAGTTACAATGGAGAGACGATTCGAACATGATCCGAGCATAACGCGAGACCGTCCCGCAACCGTCGTTCCGCAGAGCTTGCCTTGCCAGGTTCGGAGCCACCCTTTGTATTGAAACACAACACTTCGTGCGTCCGCTATCTCTCAAAAACGCATTTTGTACGAGACTTCCTTAAACGATGCATGTTGAAGAGTGGAGCTAGAGCTAACTAGAGCGAGATCCACCTGGAGCTACAGCGAACCAGAGCCAGAGCTAAATGGAGTCAGAGCTAAATAAAGCTAGAGCTGACTGGAGCTAAAGCTGATTAGTAGTAGTAGTAGTAGTGGTATGTAGTATGTAGTATGTAGTATGTAGTAAGTAGTAAGTAGTATGTAGTATGTAGTAAGTAGTATGTAGTATGTAGTAAGTGGTAAGTAGTATGTAGTATGTAGTAAGTGGTAAGTAGTATGTAGTATGTAGTATGTTGTAGTAGTAGTAGTAGTTGTTGTTGTTGTTGTGGTAGTAGTATGTAGTGGTGGTAGTAGTAGTAGTAGTATGTAGTAGTATGTAGTAGTATGTAGTAGTACGTAGTAGTATGTAGTGGTATGTAGTAGTATGTAGTAGTATGTAGTAGTAGTATGTTGTAGTAGTATGTTGTAGTTGTAGTAGTAGTAGTAGTAG